AACTTTTTCTCCCGCTACTATTACAGCTTATGGTAGATAACTAGTTAGGGCGAATATTTGAAGAGTAACATTAGGTGACGAGATATCAACATTTATGAAAATCACATTCGAAGACGAACATCGAATTCTTCAAGCAAAAAGTGGCCTGAGTTCTATGGCTTGATTTTCAATTTTTTTCTTTAGAGAAAAGAAAACAGGTCGATTCTGCTCAGTGGTTTCATTTATAGTTTCTTGTGTTTTCATGCATGGAAAAAACTTACCTTTCTGCGGTTTCCTTGAGTGCTATAAACCCTAAATTAGATTGGATAAATTTGAAGCAGCATAATCGCTTGACGTAGCCGACTTTGAGCTCTGAGAAGTTTACATATGAAAATTGCCTTGTTACTGGTCTGTTTATATCTGCTGATAAAGACAAATGATACGCACCGCGGATGTGACTTTGAACAAAGAGAGCCTTGAATAAAACCAGGCCCGGTCTTTTCTTTCGATAAAAACAAGGCTTTGTTTTTTAAAATAAGCTTCTGAACTATTCTCTGTTCAAAATTGTTCATTTTGTTTTTTTAAATGATATTCTTGTACGAATAAAGAGTGAGGTAATTACTAAATTAAGAAAACTCATTATAGGGAAACTCACATTGGGAAAGTCCGGAAGAAGGAAACATACCGCAGAAAAAGCAGTATGTTCTCCATCTGTTTTTCTTTTTCTCACATCTTAATAATTATTATCTCGAGTTTTAATTTCTAAAAATTCGCTTTGGAAATAGCTACGCTATTTAAAAAGCAGTGAAGGTGAACTATAATCAGGGCTGTTTTTGTTGTAATAACTTTTTTTATGCTACATGGAACAGTTTTCTTTACTTCAGTATTTTTTAAGAACTTCCTTAACACCGTAATTGTCAATATCTATTATTACACTGAGGAGATTACCAATATTTGCCTGGTTATTTTCAGAAGCATTGTTACACGCAGTCATTTGCTTTTCAATTGATTGAGTTGTTTGAAAGCATCTGCTTAATGTGCACGGACGTTTGGAATTTGTAAATTAAGAAAGCTTTCAATACTGCTCATCCTCTACGCAAGACAAACAAACTAAAACAACAAAAATTTCTTAACTTGCTTTCGTTGGACATTACTCAGCGCCCTAATGAAACTTCCCAACAATCGGTTACAAAATTCCGATGGGCTTTGACTTAAGCGATGGGTTTTCAACTTTGTACCAGTTGGCAACACCAAGTATCGTTGCAACTTAAATGTATGATGCTGCAACTTATATACATAACCAAATAAAGCAATAATCCTCGCAGGTGACAACCGGCGTGCCTCTCACATACTAGTTGGGCGCTATTACCAACTGAGCTGCATGAAGCCGTATGTTTGAAATAGAGCACATTTTAGAGAGTTCTTCTTTGCGTCGGAGGAATCTATTGAGATTTATTTCATTAAAAAAAAATTGTGAAGATAAATAGATATTTCTCTCGATTGCGAGCCGGCATATCGCTCATTTTCCGGTGTGGACATTTAGTGGAGAGCCGTGTTTCCCTTTGCCACATAGCAGTGAAATTTTAATAAGTTTCGTTCTGAAATCGTTACGAACATTTAAGTGCAGCACACGCCGGATAATTTTATTCATCAGCCTCTAACTAAACAGAGAATTCAAATTGAAAGCTTTATATATTTTTAGTCCACTTGACCCTTTCCATCGACCTCAACAAAACCGCTGACGTAGAGAGAGTTTCTCAAGGTGGGTTCGTGAAATTAAGAAACTAAAGATTAAAACAGTTTGATCACGCTGATGTGAACATTGACAGATTTTTCATGTCCAGATAAGACTCAAGCCACAGGATGGTAAGAAAGATTACCGATAAATTCGGAAGAGATAAGCAGCTAGTCGAACCACAATCATGACTTGCCAAGCGGAAGTTCTAGCGTTTTCTACTATTTTCTAATGTAACCTCGGGTCCTTTTTGCTCAATACATATAGCTGAAGTAACTGTACAACCCAGATTTATTGATACAGCTTCCCATAGGTAATGATTCAGACAATTGCCAATTAGTCCATGAGATTAACTCATTGCAATTTTTTGCTGCATGTAGCTAAATTTTTTTCTTTGTGATTTTCAAAAAAGGAAACTTATCTTTGTGTGACCTGTTACATTTGTTAAATTTTCCACTTCCCTGCTTCAAAGTTTAACGATCTGATACAGTGTTTTTCATGCCATATACCGTTTAATGGATATCGTTGCGGTAATATTGAAGCCAAGTGATGTAGCGTCTGAAACCACCTTGGGATTCTGTTTGATCTTGAAATCAAGTAATGTTTCAGACAGTTGTCTAGAAGAAAGTGACCTGACCACAATATAATTCAGACTAGGTCAAAGTGAAATCAACTCTCGGTCTTCCTTGTGTACATAAATTTAAGCGCCCTTAAAAACTCATTTTGATAGTTATTCCCATTTCTCTAAAATAAATCATTTACTCTCGTGAACATTGGAAGGTTGAAATGTTTCTGAAAGAAGAATATTACTTGCTATAAACTCCTGTGAAATAGAGTGTCTACACATTTAGACTGACCAACATTACCTCCTCTTCGCCTCTGGTACGGTTATCGCCAAATATCATTGACGACCGACATAAAGTCCAAAAGTTTTTCTTTATTGGACTTCGTAACATATAATGTCACGCACTAAGAAAACCGGTGTATACAGTTAATGGCGCATGCGTGATTTCGTCTTTTAACTCGAGAGAGGTTTGAAAAACTCTCCATGTACATACGTACGTATTATCGTGTGTACGTGCGTGGGTACCTGCGTGCGTGCGTACGTGCGTGCAATTCACTCCCTGGTTAGAACACTGCAAAATAACTGTTACTTCCGGTTACTCTCCATGGATATATGGATAGAGAAGAAATCCCTCATATATTTTGTTTAATGATCTGCTCTATTTAATTACTTGTTTTAGAATTACCAAATATGTCTAAAATGAAACAGAATTTAATGAAGATTGACTAAAGAAGACTTAAAGTTTGAAAAAAATTCTCCAAAATTTCATCAAAAAGCTATTTCATTTCGAGGAATATGTGAAACTTAGGAAGGCAATTTACGACTCTTGTTTCAAGCTTGCCCATTTACTAGCAGGTTCTCACGATTTTCTTCTACACCGAAAGCTTGCTACTACGTTAAGGCCATGTTAAATTTTTGCAGTTGCCTTTCTTGACTAATATTCAGTAATCCACGAAATTCACTCTCCACAAACATGGACTCCTGATAAAATTTTTACTTTACAAATTGCTTCCTTCTTTAGCGATTTACGAGCAAAAAGCGCCGAATCTCTCCAACTTAAAATCTGGCCTGTGTGCTGTGATCGTAACTCATTATAAATGAATACAATTGATCGCGGAAAGAGCGCAAAACAAACCTTGTTCTCTTATACTTGTCCAATTTGTTTGAACTCTGTTCTAGGTGTGCAAAGAATTTACTACATTTACTTTTAAGTAACTGTCAAAGATTATGTGAGCTGCAAGACGACGATTATAAATTAAAAGATTAAGACCTTTGCAGTGGTTTCCCTGATTGCTAAAATTTTCGTTCAGTTCCTGGATTACCCGCGAGACACATTAACGCCAAAGAACCGTTTTGAATCGAGAACAGCTTCTTTGCTGTTGTATTCCGATGGAAAAATTCAGACGAAGAGTGCCGCCTCGTCAAAATAGGTAAGTGTATATAACAGACCAACAATTGGATCTAACATTGTTACTTATCTGTTTTATTTCATGGCCATAATTTGTTGCTGTATTCATTAACTGGCTTTACTTTCGTGTTCCAATGTTGCTGTAAACTTAAAATTTTTAGGAAAGGACCGGCATTGAAAAAACACAAGCGAATGGTGCAAAAATAGTAGATAGAGAAGATCAAACAAATTGAATAGAAGAAGTGCGCAAGAACATAGCATCTACTCACCCAAGAGCTGACAAAATTTTAAACACCTTTCTCTCCAATTTTGACACGCTCGCTCGCTTGTTTTTTTTTTTTTTTGACACAAGGCTTTGCTACCGTTTCTTTTTGTTGCCAGACCGATTGACGATTCCGAAAACTGAAAATACAAACAGCTGCCGCTGAACTTAATAAGAAAAAAAACATTCTATTGGATAAAACCCATTAACTTAAGCGGCTACAGGCTAACCTATTTCCGTTTCCCTCGGCAAACTTTGTATTTTTTTGCCGACGGTTTTCCTTTTTTCGTTATTTCCATTTAATTTGTTGCTGATTTCAATTGCCTCAGGAGGTTTCGCTATTAGGAAGACCTTATGTCAGATATGAGAAACTTGTTTGTCATCGACAAAAAATAAAGCTGATTTTCGTCGAGGAAAACTGAGATTGGATAAGAAGTCTGTTTTAGTAGATTATGGGTGCGACAATAGAAATTTTTCAAAAAGTCAGAAAAAGTTCATGGACGATTACATACAAACATTGGTCTCTTGTCATCTTCCTGTGACTGCCCTATTTTGGTTCAATGTCTTAGTTGTCAACGTACGTAAAGAGCAGTCTTTCAAACATTGACAAATAAGAATTATTTTTAATAACTGAGCAAGAACTATGTATCTCTGAACGCAGTTATGTCATGTGAACAGATTTGCTCTAAGCTCCATTTGCAATTAAACCTTCGCATTTGTAATACTTTCATTCTTCAAGTAAGTTCGATATACGAAGGCAGATTTCTAAAGACCGGCCGGTTACTGTGATTACTGGATCGTTTAAACTGGAATCGCTGCAAAAAGCTCCCAATATTTTTACTTACGAACCAAGATAAAAATATTTAAACTTCCTTAAAAGCTTTCACTGGAAATATTTGTATCTTTCTTCCTACAGAAAAGATCATTCGCTTTTTTAGTATAAAGTGTTCTTCAACAAATTAATGTCACCGAAAAATGTCGCATACAGGGAACAGAAATTATGTTTACAAGCTACGTAAATAAACCAGACACAAATAGTATCGTTACCTACCGTTTCGTTCGTTCTATTAGGCCGAGATCGAAGCAAACCACAAAAAAGAAAAAGAAAAAAAAAGGCTCAGACTGATTATCACAAGGTGATGAACTGCTTAAGTATTGTTGCTGACATCACAGCGGGGGGAATATTGAGACATGCACGCGACCGACTTTTTTTGGGGGTTCGGTTTTTCATTCAGCCAGTGTTTTAGATATGTTTACTTTTCTTACTAAAATCAATCTGACAGTCTTTTCTAAAACTTTTGATCAGTAGTAGTTAATTTGTTGACATGATTTGATTCGGACCCAACCTCAAAGGTAACCTCGCTCTTTCGAAACAATAATGCACGAGAAATAACGAATGAACATCCATCTTTATTTCGCTACCGATCTTAAAATTCACCATCTTTGATGATGGGATAGCACGAGGCTTCCGACATTGACAATTCTAACTGTACCAAGACACACGTCAGATTTGGCACTAGCGGTGGTGTTCCTCGTCGGCGCAGAGTCTATGTGATTCATTGGTAGGGCATCACAGCGTGGAATCCACGTCTGAGGTTCGATTCCTCAGAATTTCTTCTTTGTCCCGTGCTCGAGACAAGATAGTAAAAGATATCTTTCTTTACAAGGGACCAGTCAGGGGGGACATAAGTCGCTAACAGAGTGTAAGGGGGGACCACAGAAAATTGGCTGCTTAGTAACTGCCGATGAGATTGGGATCATCAGAAAATTACAGAGCCTTATGTGGAAATCAGGTGAATTTTCATCGCGAAATACAGAGCAGCTGACGTATTTCACACATTTCCACCCGCCTATGAAAAACCTCCCTACATTTCAAGTCCGTAATATGTGAAGCAGTTTGATACTTTTCAATATCATGTTCCATCAAATAGCAGAAGGTTAGCTATTAAAGATATTCGGACATTAACCTCCTGATGAAACTTCTAAATAAAGTTGGGTAATTTAAAGTTAGATGTTTTAGAAATGTTTAAAAGGACGTGTCTTGAACATAAGCCGACAAACATTAATGTTGATTCATCTTAAATTGACAGCTGTGTCACTGAGTTTTTGTTCTCACTGGAAATTTTTCCTCCAGACTAGTAGCGTTTCAAAACACTGTTCGCCAAAGTGAAACGAGCAAAGTACCAAAAACGCGGGAAAACGATGGTAAACAATTGCGATAATAACCAATTTACGACACTCAACTGATTAGTTAACAAAAACCGAGACGTCAACAAAAAGATACTTTAAATCTGATTTTCTGAGCGAAAGAAAATATAGCAGCGTGCAGATCGGTTTTGAAAGAGAAAACGAATTTATGAAAGACAGTAACTGGTATTAAGGGGAAAGAGACCCACGCAACACCACTGAATGTACAGTGAAAGTAGTGGTTAAACAAACTTCTAACCTATAACCTCTTAGATGGGCTGATGTTAGTAAAACATGCAAATGATTCTTATGTAACATCCCACCGTGTACAATACGTCTGATAGATCTGAGGCACTAGTTTAACAGTTTATGGTGTGGTCCGGCAATAACGGTATGTCTTGCAGTCCGAAGAAATGCAAAGAAATTGTTTTTAAGAAAGGTTGTACGCAAGTTTTTCCTCTCGTGTCACAGGTATTACGCATACCGGAGCACTCCCCATTCTCGGTGTTATACGGCCTACAGTAAGACTGCCGATTTACTACACATGTACGCAATAAGCTAATTAAAGCTAAAAAATGTTCTCGGTGCTGTGATCGTTAAGGAAGGAGGGTTGTACTCAGGCAGAATTCAGTGGCGGATCCAGGGGGGGAGGGTCCGGACCCCCGACCCCCCCCATCAGGCCTGACGCTTACAACTTTAAGACTGAAATTCTTACATCGACAGGATCGTATATGACTTTTTAACTGGCTGATTTTTTTAATTAATGAATCCAAGCAAACGGTCAGCGGCCAAGGAATTATAACGTGCAACCGCGACTGGTGGGAGGGGGTGTGGGGGATGTTGGGAAGAAGTAATTTGCCTCAAAAGAGTCTAACAGTCCTTTCTGAACCAAAGTTTGGACCCCCCCAATCAAAACTTCCTCGATCCGCCCCTGGAATTACACTAGCTGTTTCAAAGTCTAGTTATCCCTAATTTGACCTTTAATGTATCGGTCTACGGTGCTGTCTATTAAGAGCGTACGACTGTACAGTGTCTACTGGTTGACCGGTCGATGTCACAAGCGGAGATATTTATCTGAGGCGGTACACATCTATGATCTATTAGAAACACAAGATAAGAACGTTTTCGACAAAGTAAAATATCGAGAGAGAGAAATCCTCTGAGAAAACTTTAACCTAAACAGAAGGTCACAGAATACAATCTAAGACACAAATCTAGTCACCGGCCGAAATTAGACACGGATCGAGTGAAGATCTCCTATTTAAATCGCCTAACTTTTAGATATGATCTAGCTTTGTAAGTAGTATTTTTTGGAAGTTTCCATAATATAAGATATGTATTTTATATCTTATGAATTAAGAAAAACGATTACCATTATAATTACAAAACACAACACACGCATAAGAATGTTGTTCGCTCCTGCATATGTGCCCACGATCAAGATAGGCTTATCTATCCTGCTTGGGTAACCAATCAGAGAACAGGAAGTCTTATCTTGCTGGCTTATAGAGGCAGGTATAAAATAAATTGACACACTGTAGCCAGACCCAAACTTATGCTACTCTTAAACTATGCGCAATCCAAAGTGACTAACGATAGGAGACGATGACCATGAAATTCAGAGTGTTTACTAGACAAAAGCCATTTTTAAAAAGAACCAGCTTGTTACCAGAAGCCTTCATTATTAATGCAGGCATGAGAAAACAGTTTAACCTTTTTGCTCAAATAAATTACATTTTCTAAGGAAGGGACAATGCACACAGGATGTGTATAGGTACACTTATTTCCTTTGTATGACTGAGCGAATTGTTTTTCAACCAAAGGAAACCAATATATGGCATCTGTTGGGCACAAACTTAATGAGTAATAAAATAAAGAAATGAACCAGCAGGGCCTATGCTTCCATTTATCTCTGTTGGTCTCTTAACTTGGCATGTACAGATGAAAAAATGCATAGGAAGGTAATTCTATACATTTCAGGGATCCATGTATAAACCAAAATCTGTGCAAAATCTTGTTATTACGTACATATCTAAATTATTTCCTTGTTCTCTTGGCTTCAACCAGAACACCCACGACATCCACATATGACACACTCAACAATCTTGCCCTAAAAGAAATTTGATTGGAACAATTACATTGTAGATCTAGACACTGATCAAAGGTTTGGTTCACTACCTAAGGTAGCATGCAAACAGATTAAGAAAGGCTGAAAGTCTACAATGTTTATGAAGTCTACAAAATAATCACCATGGCAAGCAATCAGAGAATCTTTATAACATTTTCAAAACAGTTTAAAAAACATTTTAATTTGTACCACCAGCACATCATTTCCGCTGTAATTCTAATCATGTATACTGGCAAAGAAATACTTCCACTAACACAGGCAACAAATTGAAACTTAAGTACAGTGCTACGCTTCTACCAATAAAATCATTATATAATTATGAGGTATTCTTCGGGGCAAAGTTTGGTTCTCAACAGTGTGTCTCAAATATGTTTTGATGTATAAAATTTCTTGGAGGAAAAGGGGGGTAACAGGTCTGTCCCTAGTAAACTTCAAACCAACAGATCTTTTTCAGAAACATTTAAAATTATGTGCACATGTAACAAGTGTTTCCACTAGGATGCAACCTTGCAGGATTTCTACAAAAAACTTTAGTGATGATAAGGGTGAAAACACTGTGCAAAATTGCAGTGTTTTCTTTGGTGTAAGAAAGTTATACCAAACAAATACTTTGTCATTTCTATCATAAATCTGTATTAATCTCTTTCACATAGAGTAGTAACATCATATTTTGAAATGAATTGAAAACAAAACACAAGCAAAGATGAAAACAAAAAAAAGTTTCACCCTCACCTCATAAACTCTCTGTATGTTTAAAAAGTTGGAAGATGGTCACATGTAAAAGCAATGCAGTTTGTGAGAAGAACTGACAAAAGACAAAAACTGACCTCTTCCAGTTTGGCTTTAGGTACACGGCAGATGCAGTTTGTACCAAAGTTTGTATCTCTACACTGAATACATCTGAGGCAGCAAAGGTTTTCATAACCTTGCTTCTTCCACTTTGCTATCAGGTTTTTGTCAGCATATCCTTCTTTCAAACAGTATTCATACAACTCTGTGATTAGAAAAGTCATACAAAAAATAAATTAAACAAGAAAATATAGACTAGGATGCATTTCTCTAGGAAGGAGAGGGAGGAAATGTAACAAAGACAGTTGAAAAATTTTTTTCACAACAGTCTTGCTATGATTATCAATGGCTTCCATTCACAAACATAATTAAAATACAATTGAGAAAGAATTTTAATATCAGACCATAACCCACGTGAGAGGTAGAGAAATTGAACCTTACAAGACAATATTAAGGAGAGTTGCAATGAAAAAGAAAAAAAAAACAAAACAAAACAAAACAAGAATTAGGAAGAGAAAAACCGACTAAAAAAAGACAAAAATACTAAGAATGTTGGGTTTTTACCGGGTAACCTTAAAAACCAAAATTTCAACTTTGGGGATTATTAATACTATTCAACTTCACCTCTGTCAACCTGTCTACCAACCATTTACATTTTGAAATATAAATATAATAATAATAATAATAATAATAATAATAGTAACAATAAATAAATGATAAGTTCAGTACCTCTACTGATTGCTTTTCTTCTATAGAACAGTTCATACACATAACGAGACTTCTGGTGATGGATTCTAGAGTGAGTAAAAAGGTACAAGATCTGTCTTAGTTCAAATGAACCCTTTCACTCACAAGATCTCATTAGCAATTTTCCTTACTGTCAACAATACAATTCTTATGATGTTAGTTCAGAGAATTTGGTATTGAATTGAATAACAATCTCTTAATTGAAATTTTTCCTTATTCTCATTATTCTCTCTGCTTGATATTGTAAGGAGAAAATTTATCTTGGTCACTCATGGGAGTTAAAAGGTTAATACTGGACTTTATTATATGGCTGTGTCTGACAAGGACTGGGAACTACTGAATTCATATATTTGATTGGCTGAAATCAATATTGAAAGCAGTCTAGATTTTCTGATCTAGACTGGCATCTAGACCAGTCTAGAAAAAAAAGGTACAAAGAATATAAAAAATTGGCATATAAGACACAGCCATATAATAATCATCTTATTAACCGAGCTATGTTGCTCTGTGTAGGAGAATCTTGACCTTGGTCGCTGGTACAGACCTCACTGCATCCGGTCTGTACTGGCGACCTCGGTCAAGATTCTCCCATACAGACCTCCTGCTCGGTTAATAAGAACCAAACATGCATGCACTTGCAGAAAAGTGCCTGGAATTGTAGTAACTAGTAAGTAATTTGTGGAATTACATTTTCTATACATTTTCAAGTACATTGGTGATGAGAAGAATGATAAATACACGGATATCCATCGAAGATTATCAATTGATGAGTCATACCTAATTGAGGTTTAATAATAGGAAACAAAAAATACAGACATGGAGAACTGATATTGAAATCTTGGGAATGGAAAGGTTAAGACATTTCCTCAGGATAATCCAGACTGCATAACAGGTGTTCATATACTGTATGATTATGCAAGCAGCATATCAAAAAAGAGCATATCAAAATATCAAAAAGAGAGAAGTGTGTGATTTTACCTCGATATAGGCCTGTACAACTTGCAATGGCCCTAATAGCACCTGCTATGCATCGCAGAAAGATCACACTTAACCATCAACTTTTAATTCACGCTTTCTTGGGTTTATATATATTGCTTTTCATTGCTCTTTAAAGATCATTAGATTTGAACGTTTCTTATCAAAATAATTGCGTTTTTCAACCAATTTATCTACACAGACGGGTTATCATTTAATTTAAAATTTATCATCCCATCTATCAGACAACTGTTACGTTCTGATGGGGAATCAGTGTATATTTCCTTTGGAAAATCATTGACAAAACTTTACCGTGGTTTGCGCTTAGAAAATTGATAAATACCTAAATATTGGCCACATGGACTCAGTTTTTCGTTTTCCCTCGTGCGGTTCTGTCTCAGCTGAAGTTTTTTAAAAGAGTAAAACAAACGATTAGTAGTCAGCTGATAAAGGTACAAGCATAATTTGGCCGACAAACGTCGTAATGAGGGAGCCTAGAACGCTGATCTTATCTAATTACCTTCTCGCATTTTCTGATCGAGTTCGTCAAGTGTTGGATCAATCAATTCCCATCCTTCAGGCGGAGGTTTCCGACTTCGACGTACTTTGGGCATCTTTTTCTGTTAAGGCAACTTACAATGCTATGCTGAAACCGTTCCCTCTTCTTCTCCCAGTGGAGGTTGGCGCATGGCATGCTATTTCTCTCGTGCATTAATGACTGCAGGCTCAAACCCTCAAAGCATGCGTTTCGGAAAAATCGTCCTGTGCATGTGCGATACTTTAGAAGAAACCATGGAAAACTTTATATCACTGTAAAGCTTAAACTATGATAAATATTGTAAGAAATAGACAAATTTTTTGAGAGTCACGTTTCGGCTTGCTTATGCCATCTTCAATCAATGAGTAACTGAACGTGAGTAATTATATAGCATACAAGTAGATGGATAAAATATTTACAGTATGATGTAATACAAGAGCGGGTACTAATTACAACGTGACACCAAACATCAAAGTTGTGAACTAAAACGCTAGAAAAGTGTTATAATGCTGTAATTGTCTGTTAAGTTCAGGTTTGGTCTTACTTATTTACTGATCAAAGGTTTGGTAGTGAACCAAACCTTTGATCAGTGTCTAGATCTACAATGTAATTGTTCCAATCAAAATTCTTTCAGGGCAAGATTGTTGAGTACGGATAGAGCCCAATTATTTTACATGATGTACGATTTTGCGCCACTGTCTGCGTGGGTGATGATATTTGATATTTGACATTTAATATTTATATTGCGCAAATTAACATTTGAATATGATCAAATACGCATCACAACACTTTTCGGGGGACTTTGGCCGGACTGCATCAGCAGTTTACAAACAATCGAAGGAAACCTATTTGAAGATGCCCCCTTCCCCCCAATTCCCAGTAAACATGCTAGACCACATCACAGTAAACTCGTGAGTGAGTTCTTTAACATTGGGTGTAACATTGTAAAGAATGTAAAGAAATTCGTATGACCTGTTCGTTGTATACTAACTCGGAGTTTGCTGCACAGGGTAATGTTACTTAACGGCGTAAAAACTTACAGTAAATTAGCGTTCTGTAAGATTTTGCTCTCTCGCGACTGCTTTCTAGCTGGTTGTTTGACTAATGCTCCTATTACCAAACGCTTTCATTTTCAGAACTTCCTTCGCCGTTGAAGATGAAAAGCACTCTGGCATGACCGCTAGGGTCTTCGCTTGGGTGTAACATTGGAAAGAATATAAAGAAAGTCGTAAGACCTGTTCTTTGTATACTAACTCGGAGTTTGCTGCAAAAAAAAAAAAAAAACGTAAAGAGTCCTATTTTGTAGACACGCATCAGGAGAATTCACTGGATCAGTACCAGTGAATTCGCACCAGTGCACATGAAGAAATGTTCTCTGAACAAATCTTATGGCGTTTCGTTTACGTTACCATCGGCTCCATTATCGCTTTTCTGCTTTACAAGTTTTTTAATCCGAAGGAATCGCGTGAAGAAATCAGAGAATATAGAGCTGTACAGACTGATGGAACTTCTGCTGTGCGAAAGTTACCTGAAGAAAATGATGAGAGACCAGGGAAACGACCTAAAGAACATGACGAGCATCTTTGATGAGGTGGGCAAATGCGGATTTATTGACAAAAATAGAGTGTAAATTCCATGATTTTTAATTCCCCTTGATGCAGCAAAAACATTTTGAGCCTTTAGCTTCGTCAGGATTTTTCGTGCGTGTTTTATATGCTCCTATTTTCATTGTTTCCTAATTTCATTTTTTTTATCTTGTACGTTGTGCTAATAGAACTCTTATGTTTCTTCCTCTTTAAACGAACACACATACTGGTGGAGCTCGCCGACCATGAACACGTGTGGCTCGAGCTAGTCTTGTCTCAGTGTTTTATTTTTCTGTCCACGCTTCAAATATGTGGTACAACTTTGATTACTGCAATAGCCTAAAAGTTCAAAACAGCATTCATCATTAAGTTCTTACTGAAATTTATGTAATTAGGGCTTTTTATATCCTTAAAAAATGCACAATTTCTTTTTCAAATTGCATTTGGTGTAAATTCTGTTCTCCGTGTAAATTCTACGTGTAAATTCTGTTCTCCGGGCTCTCGATTTTGTAAGCGACTCTTACCGAGAAAGTCTGATCACAGGTTGTATTAGAGGCAAAGGCATGCTTGCTGACTATTTCAAGCGCCAGCCTATCAATCAAAGCTAATCTAAGTACATTTTATCTCCGAGCTTAAGATTACCATCATTCATCATTTTAATTGCGGTTTTGTTCTTTCATAATTTGCTGTCAGGCGAGGCACGATAGAGCCAAGCCGAAGAAAGCGTGTCTTCGTCACGCGCAGCTGCACTCGCCTAAAGCTCGAAATAAGTACAGAAATAATTACAAAAGCGTGGTTTTAATGCTTTCAATTTTTCTTCTCTTTAGAAAAGCGACTGGATAGTCATGAAAGGAAGAATGCATTATAATTTTATTTTTACTGTGGAAGTGTCGTACCACCATGACAGAAAAATATTGACTTCGACATTCGCGAACTATTGAAACTTTTGTTTTAGTCAAGGTGAACAAAATTCTTTTAACGCCTCATTGGTAACTGTTATTACGTGAGCTATCAAGGTGGCCCAACGTTCTTGTTTGTGTTAAGGACTTATGGAAGCGATGCCTGACTGACTTTTGAACAACTATTGTGACTGTGTGACGCCGCTGGCCGAAAGGCGAAATCTTAATGATTAGTGAGACGTTTCACTGAAATTTGTCATTGCTTCTTAGTTTGAGTAAAACGACATTTTTAAAAGTGGTCATTGTTTCTTACTTTGTAACGACGGTTTTACTTTTTCGTGCGAGGAAGCATTATTTACCCTTGGGACAACGGGCAGAAGTTTGTACTCGCGGCTTTGATGATAAAAAATAAAAGGTGTTTTCTTGACTCTTCCATTTTCGTTATCGTTAGAATGGCGATTGGATAATAATGACAGGAGAAGTGTATTACATTTTTACGACAGGGCCGCGTGAGAAACCTACTTGCTTGCTTAAACTGTTGATCAGCAGACCATGGAACGCCCAANGTTATGATGCACGATCCTCGCAGTAGATAGCGCTATTTAAGCAATAGCGAAAATCAGACCTGAAAAAAATCAGGCCTGTACGGGATTCGAACCACTGACCTCTGCGATACTAGTGCAGCGCTCTACCAATTGAGCTAACAAGCCAACTGGGAGCAGGCCGTTAAGTTGATTCGTAATAAACCCGTGAAAGTGATAAATCAGATACAATGAAATATATGAAGTTCATATATTTTGAACTGCGGTATTAGATACATATGGTGAACGATCCTCGCAGTAGATAGCGCTATTTAAGCAATAGCGAAAATCAGACCTGAAAAAAATCAGGCCTGTACGGGATTCGAACCACTGACCTCTGCGATACTAGTGCAGCGCTCTACCAATTGAGCTAACAAGCCAACTGGGAGCAGGCCGTCAAGTTGATTCGTAATAAACCCGTGAAAGTGATAAATCAGATACAATGAAATATATGAAGTTCATATATTTTGAACTGCGGTATTAGATACATATGGTGAACGATCCTCGCAGTAGATAGCGCTATTTAAGCAATAGCGAAAATCAGACCTGAAAAAAATCAGGCCTGTACGGGATTCGAACCACTGACCTCTGCGATACTAGTGCAGCGCTCTACCAATTGAGCTAACAAGCCAACTGGGAGCAGGCCGTTAAGTTGATTCGTAATAAACCCGTGAAAGTGATAAATCAGATACAATGAAATATATGAAGTTCATATATTTTGAACTGCGGTATTAGATACATATGGTGAACGATCCTCGCAGTAGATAGCGCTATTTAAGCAATAGCGAAAATCAGACCTGAAAAAAATCAGGCCTGTACGGGATTCGAACCACTGCGATACTAGTGCAGTGCTCTACCAATTGAGCTAACAAGCCAACTGGGAGCAGGCCGTCAAGTTGATTCGTAATAAACCCGTGAAAGTGATAAATCAGATACAATGAAATATATGAAGTTCATATATTTTGAACTGCGGTATTAGATACATATGGTGAACGATCCTCGCAGTAGATAGCGCTATTTAAGCAATAGCGAAAATCAGACCTGAAAAATTATTATCTGATTTAGGGCCATTTAGCTCGGTTTTACTTCATCTGCTTTGCTCTCTTCATGTACGCCTGTGAGGAACGACAACCAAACGAATCCTCGCGCATCACAGGCGATGATGTTACTTTACTTTACAGTTAGAGTAAAAAGAAGATTAGCTTAAAAGAGGATTATGTCCTTTACTGTCCTTGACGTCCAACCACCGGAAGCCCAAGCGCAGACATTGAGTGTTCCTTATTTCAGGGGCATATACAATGAACTGGAATTAAAGACCGCCAATTCCAGCCTTAAGGTTTGTTTCTCGATCAAAAAATCAGGTAATACATTTAGGATAACATCCAGGAGCAACATTTCGTAAGTAACTTTGACGTGAAAATGACAACAAATACTAACCTGGGGTGTAAGAAACACGAGCTGTCCATCCTAGAAAGGAGTGTTCTTCCCAGTAACCTTATATCTTGATATCTGAAAAAAGGAATTTTGGTTTGATCAATTGAGTTGATGATGTAAATTGGCCACCGTAAAGAGTTTCAAAGCTGACGTTTCGAGCGTTAGCCCTTCGTCAAAGAGAAGCACCCTAGGAAATGCATATAGAACACTATCGAGAATGCGCATGCAAACTGATTTACGACGGACTCTTTTGACAAAATTCCCGCTAAATTCCGAGAGGCTTTCGGTTTGTGGAAGTACTGAAGAAAGCATAAGATATGGAAATCAAAACGCATCCTAAATCCTGCGGCTCTCTCACTACCTCCCTCCCTCCCCTCCCTGGACACACCTCTTCTCACTGTGGTCCTCCTTTATGACTTCTACCTTTCTTTTTAACAGGACTCGATGAAATTCCGCACCCAAGAGTTGTGTCTCTTATTACTAAAATTTCATACCTAGCTTCCCCGCTTCCCATGGCCCTCAAGAAATCTCTCCATCCCACTTCCCACAACTCAAACCATAATGAATAATTTCCTCCCTTTCTATTCCTTTCCCTCACTATTTCCACTATATAAATAATTTTTTGGCAGTAAAAT